ATGCCAATAAATTGGACAACCTGGGCGAAATGAATACATTCTTAGAAACACAAAATCTTCCAAAACTGACTCAGAAAGTATCAGAAAATCTGAATAGATTGGATGGCTTCACAGGCAAATTTTCCCAAACATACAAAGATGAACCAACACCTATCCTCACACTATTCCAAAAATTTCAAGAGCAGGGAAGACTCCCAAGCTCATTTTACAAAATCAGCATTATCTTCATTCAAAAACCAGATAAAGACACTACAAAGAAAGAAAATTCTAGGCCAATATCCCTGATGAACACAGAGGCAAAGTCTTCAATAAAATATTAACAAACTAAATCCAGCAATATAAAATGATCATACACCATGATCGAGTGGGATTTATTCTGGGGATGTGAGGTTGGTACAATATTTGCAAATCAATAAATGTGATATACCACATAAACAAAATGAAGGATAAAAATCACATGATCATATCAATAAATGCAGAAAAACGTTTGATAAAATCCAGCACCGAATTATGATAAAAACTCTCAGCAAAGTAGGAATAGAGAAAGCATACCTCACCATAATAAAGGCCATATGTAACAGTCCCTCAGCCAACATTATACTCAATGGGCTAAAACTAAAAGTGTTTCCCTTAAGATCAGGAACAAGACAGGGATGTCTGCTTTCACCACTCTTATTCAACATAGTACTAGAAGTCCTAGCTACAATAATCAGATCAGAAGAAATAAAAGGCATCCAAACTGGAAAGAAAGAAGTAAAACTTTGATTATTTGAAGATGACATTATACTGTATATAGAGAACCTTAAAGACCACCAAAAAAAGTACTAGAACTAATAAATGAATTCAGTAAAATAGCAGGATATAAAACTGATATTCAGAAATCGGTAGCATTTTTATACTCCAATAATGAACTACCAGAAAAAGAAACTAAGAAAACAATCCCATTTACAGTGCAACAACAAAACAATAAGGTACCTAGGAATAAATTTAACCAAGGAGGTAAAAGACCTGTACTCAGAAAATTATAGGATACTAAAAAAAGAAATTAAAGTAGATACAAAAGGTGGAAGCATATACCATGTTCATGGATAGGAAGAATTAACATCATTAAAATGTTCATACTACCCAAACAATCCATAGAGTCTATGCAATTTCTATCAAGATACCATTGGCATGTTTCACAGAACTAAAACACATATTTCAAAAATCTATATGGAACTTCAAAAGACCCCAAATAGCCATAGCAATCATGAGAAAGAAGAACAAAGTTGGAGGAATCATGCTACCTGATATCAAATTATACTACAAGGCCATAGTAATTAAAACAGCATGGTACCAGCATAAAAACAGACATATAGAGCAATGGAACAGAAGAGAGAGCCCAGAAATGAACACACGCCTTTATGGTCAATTAATATTTGACAAAGGAGGCAAAAACATGCAATGTGGTAAAGATAGTCTATTTGATAGATGGTGTTGGGAAAACTGAACAGATACATGCAAAGAAATAAAACTAGATCATATACAAGAAGAAACTCAAAATGAATTAAAGACTTAAATTTAAGTTGTGAAACCATAAAAATCTTAGAATAAAACACAGGCTGTAAAATCTCAGACATCTTTCATAGCAATACTGTTTCTGATATATATCCTGGGGCAAGGGAAACAAAAGAGAAAATAAACAATTACGACTACATCAAACTAAAAAGTTTTTGCACAGCAAAGAAAACCATCAACAAAATAAAAGGACAACCCACTGAATGGAAGAACATATTCACCAATGATACATCTGATAAGTGATTAATTTCCAAAATTTATAAAGAACTTATACAACTCAAAACCAAGAAAACAAGAAATCCAATTTAAAAATGGGCAAAGAAACTGAATAGACACTTATCCAAAAAGGACATACTGGTGGCCAAAGAACATATGAAAAGTTGCTTGAGATCATTAATCATCAGAGAAATGCAAATTAAAACCACAATGAGATATCACCTAACACCTGTCAGAATGGTATCATCAATATAGACAAGTGTCAATGAGGATATGTAAAAGGAAACCCTTGTGCATTGCTGGTGGGAATGCAGATTGGTGCACCCATTGTGGAAAACAGTACAGAATTTCCTCAAAAAATTAAAAATAGAATGGCTTACAATATCAGAGAACAATTAATAAGTTTAAGTACATTTGTGTTACTACTTTTACTATATTCCCTGATATATTATACTGTGTGCAGAGGTATTCAATAAATGTTGAATTGAATTGATTTGTGCTGGTAGTGGAAGCATTAAAAAGATTCTTCAGTTATGAATTATGTGATTCTATCTGATATTTGGAACTTGAATACACATATAGTCTCCTAAATAATGTCTTCATCTACAGCTTCCATTGACTTGTGTTTCTTTTCAAAGTTAGCTATTTAATTAAATTTCCCATATCTGTACATATAACATTTGGTCTTTATTTTTATGTCTATCTCACACACACACACACACACACACACACACACAGCATATGCATACATATGTTCCAAATGTTCCGTGGTAGTACCAAAAATAAATGTTATATTTGTTATCATATCTTGTGTCTTAATTTTGGGTTCAGAAAATATGACCACTGGCAAATAGACAAGGAATGCTGCTGATAGCACTAATTATACAAAGGCAACTTATTCCCTTGCCATAGAGGTTATAGGGAACAAGTCTATTGTCTGAGTACTCATAGCGAGGCCCTCAAACCGACAACATTGGCGTCTCCTGGGAGCTGGTTGGAAAGGCCGAATCTGAAACCCATCCCAGACCTACTGAACCAGAACCTACATTTTCACTAAATCCCTAGTGATTCATACACACTTGAAAGTTGAAGAAGCACTGACAGAGAATGCAGAAAATGGACCTAGTCAAGTACTCAGATTGAAAATACAGAGATTTTATTTTTTATTGAGTATAATGGACATATAATATTATATTAGTTTCAGGTATACAACATAATGATATAATATTTGTATTGTGAGATGATCACTACAATAAGTCTAGTTAACATTCATCATCATACATAGTTACACGTGTGTGTGTGTGTGTGTGTGTGTGTGTGTGGTGAGACAGGATGGGGATTTTATAAGAAATACTCAAAAGATAAACAAAGGTTTGGAAAATTAGGTCCATAAGGCTAAGAAAAAAAAATGGAATTACTTATAGCAAGAAAAGCTTTAGGATCTAGTAACTATATATTCCATTTCTAGGAATATTTCTGAAAGAACCCAAAACACTAATTTATTTTTTATTCTATTTTTTTCCCAAAGCACTAATTCAAAAGAATATATACACCCTATGTTCAGTGTAGTGATATTTACAATAGCTAAGATTTGGAAGCAGCCCAAGCGACCATATGTAGATGAATGGATAAAAAAGAGGTGATGCATTTACACAACAGAATGAGTACTACTTGGTCATAAAAAAGGAAGGAAATCTTATTTTTTGCAATAGCATTGATGGACTGGAAAGTATTATGCTAAGTAAAATAAGCCAGTCAGAGAAAGTCAAATACCATATGATTTCACTTATATGTGGAATCTAAAGAACAAAATAAAGTAACAAACAAAATAGAAACAGACTTGCCCTGGCCAGTTTGGCTCAGTGGTTAGAATGTCGGTCCATGAACCAGAGAGTCCCGGGTTCAGTTCCTGCTAAGGGCATGTACTTCGGTTGCAGTTTGTCCCCAGCCCTAGTTGGGGTCGTGTGGATGGCAACCAGCTGATGTGTCTCTCACATCGATGTTTCTCTCTCTCTCTTCCCCCCTCTCTCCCTCCCACACTATCTGAAGATAAATGCAAAAATATCCTCAGGTGAAGATTAAAAAAAAAAGGAAACACACTCGTAGATCTCATAGATAGATACAGAAAACAGACTGACAGCTGTCAGAGAGGAGGGGAGTTGATATGAGTGAAGAAGGTAAAAGGGTTAAGCAAAAACAAACAAACAAAAACCCAGACACAGACAACAGTATGGTGAATACTAGGGCAAAGGGGAGTGGAGGGAGGTGGAAGAGGGCAAATGGTGGATAAATGGTGGTGGAAAGAGACTTGGCTTTGGGTGGTGGGCACAAGATCCAGTATGCTGAAGATGTGTTACAGAGTTGTACACTTGAAACCTGCATGATTTTATTAACATTGTCACCCCAATTCATTCAATAATAAATAAAGAAGAGACACCAAAGAAATTCCTCCCTCCTTCTTGTGAGGTGACAGCAAAAAGACGGCTGTCCAAGAAGTGGTCCCTCACAAGATATTGACTCTGCCAATGCCTTGATTGTCCCCAGCTTCCAGAACTGTGGGTAATAAATTTCTATTGTTTATAAGCTACCATAAACCATAGTCTATGGTTTCTCTTGTATAGCAGCCTAAATAGACTAAGACAATTCCATGTGCATTTACTAAGACAATTGCATTTATGTGGCATCTCTCTGCGTAAAGGGTTTATTCAGATTTCAGATAAAGAGTCATCTCACACTCCCAACTCCTGCTATCTACCTCATCATTCCTTAGACTATCATCTAGTTTCCATTACACTCCTTTCTATTGATATAGTATAGATTAACTTAGACTTCTAGAATTCTCACTAACTGAAACCCACAGCCAGTGAAACACACACTATTTGAAATTGGCATGGTTTACTTGTTTGTTGTTTATCTCCTCAAAGAAAGTGCAAGCTTCACAACAAAGAATTATCTGGCCTCCACTGTCAATAGTGCTGAGGTTGAGAAACCCTGACTTACATGTTTCCAGACTTACAGGTCGTGCTGAAGTCTCTGCAGAGAGGACGATATTAAATAGTCTTTGTGGTAACAATAAAATATAACTTTGGACCCTCCCTCCAGATCCCCTCCTTGATCTTTATAAAAGCACATATTTTCAGTTATGGGTTGTAAATCATTATTGCCTTTTATCCACATAAGTTACCCGTGGCATGTGAGGACCATGTGAGTGACCTGGCGTGCATTACCTGCTGCTCATGGAGAATCACTTGACCCTTGAGGGGATTTCCCAGGGGTGCCACTGTCACAAATGGGTGCCACACTCCACTGGCAGTTCTTGGGAAGATGTCATAAAAGTCCACAAAGTAGCCACTTTTCCCGGCCATATTCATGAAGTATAAGGAAACAGGATTGCATGTAACTACATAGAGAGTATTTTCTTCATTTTCTGAAATGACAAAAAAGAGTTAATTTTGTAATCTGCAACATTTTCTGACTGGTCAAGAGGTCCAGTGAAAACTGAATTATGAGATTAAACACAGTTGAAATTCAACAGATGATTTGTAGGTGAATTGATTAGGTTGGAAAAGACTATGAGAAGCAACTTAATTCCTGCTCTAAAAGTAGACGGGTTGAGGGTGAGGGTGGGGGCACAGCTATCTATTTGAGGGAGTATTTGTTCCCAGAAGAATTCCATATATCTCACAATAGCACCATTAAATATTCCACACTTCTCAGAGCAGGAAATTCTTCCTTGTATGAGAGCAAAGTGCTTTGTGCTTCAACAGGGCATTTTCTGTTTTATTGTTCCTTTAGATGGACTAAAGCTGGTCAACATCTATCTGCTGCGCTTACATTTCCCACATACTTACTAGATCCTAAAGCTTTTCTTGCTATAAATAATTCCATTTTTTTTCTTAGCCTTATGGACCTAATTTTCCAAACCTTTGTTTATCTTTTGAGTATTTCTTATAAAATCCCCATCCTGTCTCACCACACACACACACACGTGTAACTATGTATGATGATGAATGTTAACTAGACTTATTGTAGTGATCATCTCACAATACAAATATTATATCATTATGTTGTATACCTGAAACTAATATAATATTATATGTCCATTATACTCAATAAAAAATAAAATCTCTGTATTTTCAATCTGAGTACTTGACTAGGTCCATTTTCTGCATTCTCTATCAGTGCTTCTTCAACTTTCAAGTGTGTATGAATCACCAGGGATTTAGTGAAAATGTAGGTTCTGGTTCAGTAGGTCTGGGATGGGTTTCAGACTCGGCCTTTCCAACCAGCTCCCAGGAGACGCCAATGTTGTTGGTTTGAGGGCCTCGCTATGAGTACTCAGACAATAGACTTGTTCCCTATAATCTCTATGGCAAGGGAATAAGTTGCCTTTGTATAATTAGTGCTATCAGCAGCATTCCTTGTCTATTTGCCAGTGGTCATATTTTCTGAACCCAAAATTAAGACACAAGATATGATAACAAATATAACATTTATTTTTGGTACTACCATGGAACATTTGGAACATATGTATGCATATGCTGTGTGTGTGTGTGTGTGTGTGTGTGTGTGTGTGTGTGAGTGAGAGATAGACATAAAAATAAAGACCAAATGTTATATGTACAGATATGGGAAATTTAATTAAATAGCTAACTTTGAAAAGAAACACAAGTCAATGGAAGCTGTAGATGAAGACATTATTTAGGAGACTATATGTGTATTCAAGTTCCAAATATCAGATAGAATCACATAGTTCATAACTGAAGAATCTTTTTAATGCTTCCACTACCAGCACAAATCAATTCAATTCAACATTTATTGAATACCTCTGCACATAGTATAATATATCAGGGAATATAGTAAAAGTATTAACACAAATATACTTAAACTTATTAATTGTTCTCTGATATTGCAAGCATTAAGTGCTGTTTGGTCTTTGGTTCAAATACATATATATGATTCTAACCCAAGAAAATGCTCTTTTACAAATACAGAATAGGTAAAAAACAAAGAAACAAAGCAAAACAAAAACCTAGCTTGCAAATGTGGACAATACTGATAGAAAGGGTTAAATTATATGAGGGACAGCAAAAGAGTTTCACCTTTGAAGGGACAATGCTGACTAATTGGCAGTAGCAGCCTGGAATGCTGTGCTGAGACCTGGGCTGCTGGGACAGGTTTAATGAGGAAAGTGCTGTGCCTGGTCAGTGATGCTTGTCACAGGCAATGGGGCAGAGGGTCACAGCACACTATGGACAATCCCCAAATACAAGACAATGGCCAAAGTGCAAACTGTCTCCATAAAATCCATACTTACTCTCTACTAGTGAATGTAAAGTATCTTAATAAGAGTACCAATCTGTTACCAAAAACCCTGTACATTTTTAAAGCACATTTTTATTCAACATAGCTGATTTTAAGAATAAAGAGTATCTATAGAACTTATATGAACAAAACTTGCTTCTGAATTTTTGCCTAAACAATCCCCATCATAGTCAAGTTAGATGCTCCCTTCCCCCTGCCTTCACTTTTGTTTACATTCCTTTAGTAACTGCTGCTAATTGAGAAACGTCTGCCAAAAGGTACCAGGGCACGCTGCATGAATCAGTAGGGAATGGCAATGGGCCAGAAATGTAGATGCCAAAAGTTCACATCCTTCATTTGTCTTTCTTTACAAGGAGAAGTTTAATGACTGCAAATCACTCCAGCCCTGCTTCCATGGTTCATGCAATCACCAAACTGGAATCCCAGCCAAGGAATCCAGTGTTTCTCCTTTTCCTTTTTCCCTTCTATTTTTAGTACACACATGGGTGTGTTTAGCTTTGTGCTGCAGTTGTAATGAGAACCAGACATAGGCATACAAACTTATCAGTACTTAAGTGGATTCCACCATAGTATTTTGTTAGGCTGTTATAGGAAATTAGTTCTAAACTATACATAATTGCTATCTAATTCAAGAATGACAGTTACTGAGTCTATGGACTTCTTGATGTCTAGAGATTATTTGAATCCATCTTAAAAAAAAATTAGTGCAGGAAGGAAAAATCAAAAGAATAAACAGACATACCATGTGATGTAGCAATGTCACAGATTATGTTGATTTCATCCAATGGCAACCTCCAGGAAGCACATTCTTCAGTGAACGTTTGAGATCGTACTTCATGTCTTTCTACTGGATATTCCTCTATGTTTATAAGTGCTGGGCCCTATGATACAGTAGTTGTCTGAGTTAAGAAATGTGGGTAGTTACCAAAATGTAGAAAAGCTACAGTTCTTCCAAAATACAGAATTTTAAATTCAAATAATCAATATCTTGACATATCTCTCATTTTATTGAATGGCATGGTACGTATAACAATAACAATACCATAAAATTGCATTTATAAATGCTTCCACATGTGCTATTATTTAACTTCTCACGTTATTTTCTTTTTACTCATAAAATATACCAGATGTAAAAGCCCACGGTATTTCTCATTATTTCATTTCTTCCTAAACCAAGAGCAACTTTTGAACTCCAAGTATTGGGGCCCAGAGCTGTCCAAACCAGGAGAATAATTTGTAAATGAATGAATCAGGGCTGATATACTTCCATCGCCAAAAATAATCATGATATCATTTATAGAATGTAATGGCTAAACCTGGGTCTCTGAAATAAAATATGAAAAACAGTGACAACTGAAATTAAAAACAAGTTACTGATAACCACTACTGTTAATTATAAAAGGTAGAGTATTTCACACACAGTAAAATATGATTCAGTGGAAACACAAGCAGAGGAACAAATTTAATCATGTTGTTGATATTAGTACTAAGTACTTGGATATAGTCTCCTGGAAAGATTATATAGATGTAACTAAAATTTCAATAATCTGCATACCTTACAGTCAGTCCTTAATTAATAAAAAATGTTTGGGGTTTGCCCCGATGGCGTGGCTCAGTGGATTGAGCGTCGTCCCATGGACTGAGAGGTCCCGGTAGATTCCCGGTCAGGGCACATGCCCAGGTTGTGGGCCGATCCCCAGGAGGGGGTGTGCAGGAGGCAGCCAATCAATGTTTCTCGCTCACATCAATGTTTCTTTCTATCTCCCTCTCCTTTCCTGTCTCCCAAAAAAATCAATGAAAACATATTTCTTAGAAAAATGTTTGGGTTAGATATTGACCACTGTGGCATCCGGGCTCCCTCCTCCTTTCAGACTAGTCTGCAACTCAGGAGCAGGACAACTAGAAACCACACTCCTCATCCTCCCTTGCAGCAAAGGCTGTGGGTGTGATTGAGGTTCTGCCAACTAAATGCACTTGCATGAGACCTGGGAGGCAGAGAGGCAGAGGCCGTCTCCTGCAGCTACAGCAACAGGAGGCTGACCACAGGAGCGGTCAGACCCTGTGCTCTCCGCAGGCATCCCGCGCTGGGCCACTGGTCAACTCCGAGGCACTGCCTGCTTTTGTAAATAAAATGTTACTGCAACACAGACGCACTCACTTGCTCATGTCTTGTCTAAGGCTGCTTTTTGTGCTACCATGGCAGAGTTGAGGACTCATGACAGAATCTCTGTAGCCTAAGCCTAAAATATGTAGCACCTGATGTCTTATAGGAAACGTTTGCTGATCTTGCTTTACTGTGTGGCTCTCAGCAACTGGGCTGGTCGCAGAAGCAGAAACACTGATCTTGAAACTAAAAATCTAGTGATGATCACTAGGCTTTTGTTCCTTTTGTCCTTTCTAATGAGTTTATAAGCATCTAATTCCCTACAGTGAATCCCTTTGTGCTTGAAATACATAGAGGGGATTCTATTGCAACTTGTGATCGATACTCCTTCCCTTTGTCTTTCTACAGGAAGCTGAATATCTTGGAGTAACTGTCCTAGGATAACACGCAAGATACCCGATTCTCCTAAAATACAGGTCAGCTCTCAGGAATTCTACTGACCATTAGCAATTACCTACATTGAATCCCTCAGAGGCCAGACTGGCTTAAGAATTTGAGCAGAAGCTAAATATACTCTAAAATAACATCAGAACAAGTCATTTTTGAGCTTGTATGAATTTTGTCCAGTGAAGATATATAAAAATGTGTAACACTCAATATTTTAATGAAAAAATAACATCAACCTTTATGTCTATATGCTGAGTTTCTGCTGGACACAACAGTTTTTGCATTCCATTTCTTGACTGGCCAATTGTCCAGTAGCCCATGAATGTCTGTTCAGGGAGGGGCAACCTGTCAAAGATGATTTGAAAAGTAAGCATTCCTTCTTGGTTTCAAGTCACAGGAAAACATAACGAATCATCTATTATCAACCCCATAGATAAATTTGAATAATGCTTTACTGTTGTCTTTATTAAAAGAGTCTATAAAACCATGTTTAGAATATACTTTAAGAAGAAAAGATTCTACGTTTCTAAAACTTAATGACAAATATAATTGATTACATATTTTTTCCTTGAATTGGTAAAATACTTAGCAATTTGATATCTAAATTCCTAGTATAGAAAAAATTTAGGTTAAAAAAAAAAAGGAGCAATCTATCAGTCTTTCAGTATATTCTTTTAAATTTGGAATCAAATGATAAATAGCACACCATATTACCAGTCACATGTTTGTAAGCTGCCCAGGGCAAGTTTCATAGACTCTATGTTAGCACCTTAATTTTTTTCACTTTGAATTGAAATATTATATATGGAAACACACACACAAAGGTGCCACTCAATCCTGAACACACCAGCACCCACAGAAACAGCACCACCAGCACCCAGAAAGCCCCTCAGCACGGCTTTGGGCGTCATACTTACCAAGGGAGCTCCTGCCCTGATTTCTAGTGGAATTAGCTATGTTTAGATTCCTTGTTAATTAAAATGACTTCTAAATAATGTGACTCGCCAAACACATATGGCAATGTTATAGACCAAAACCACAGACACATTTTTGAGACTAAAGCCTTCATTTTTAATCATACTATTTTTTCTTTGAAACTTTAAAAAAGGAACCATGAATTTGTCATTTAATTCATTATAAATCTCTTATTCCATGATAAGTTAAGGCAAACTGTAATTCAGAGTTAAATTTCTTTAAAAGTAATGCACATGTACATATAAATTGAAATGCAGGCTTGGAATGAGTTTGATGATCATTAAAAGAGTACATATTTATATTTAGAAATCAGTTTATTTTTAGCAAGAGTAGTCTGACACAGTATTTCCATATGCTTAATAATACCATGTAAGGCTCAGACATTTTTTTGCATAAAATAACAGAATCAAGCATTCTGGTAGAATTTGCTCTTTGGCCCTTTGAAATATTTTTGTTTAACACAAAAGGAAAGAAATTTACATTAAAATTCTCCAACGTCATCTGACCTAAAGTTCTTAAAAGGAAGTAAGTGCTTTTGCATCTATCGTCTAAATCACACTTCAGCCCTGGCCCAAGGGCACAGCTGGTGCAGCGGCGTCCTGTGCACCAACGGTCGTGGGTGGGACTCCTGGTTAGGGCACATACACAAGCTTTGGGTTCAATCCCCAGTGGGGGTGCATGTCTCTCTCTCTCCCACTCTTTCGAAAATCAATAAAAACATATTTTAAAAAAGAAAATATATTTTAGATCATTCTGATTGGTCTCCCACTTCCATGTTTTTACTGGAAATGAGGTTGGAAGGGCACTGAGTCAAGGGATTTACTACTGTTGCATTTTCTCTATTAAATGTAACAAAGACTTGAAAACATCTCATAGACTCGGATCTCTCCTTGTTCAGAGAGTGAACTGTATTCTTCACCTGCTTTCAGCAGTTCACTAAAGGAGAATCAGGTCTCCAAATCTCAAAGGAGATAAATAAAGTAAGGAGACACAGCTAATTTCCCCTTAGCATAGAAGACTTAGTACTATAGGATGCAGGAGACCTGGGTTCTAGTTTTAGTTCTTTTATCAACGAGCTATGCAGACTTTGGAGAGGGAACGTCAGCTAATTTCTCTGAGTGTTATTTTCTTCCTTTGTGAAATCAAGGGGAAGATTTACAAGGGTCCTTGGAGACTGGGAGTCTCTGAAGATCACTGAAGTGAGTCCAGGAACATGTCAGTGGTAGAGTCAATAGTCTTGCATTATCTTGGTGCTTTGGAGTGAAAATTAAACTATCAAAACAGAAACACCTATACCTACCAAAAAAATAGGTGCCCTGAAAGAAAGGCATGCTTTATTAATTAGCTTTTAAAAACAAGTTCTAAATATATCCCATTCTTTGGAGACAACAGAAACAGTCACACAGTTTAAAATTTAACTATGTTTCTTAAGAGGTAGAGAACTGCTTAATAAAAATGATCCTTGCTTGATAGGTTAATATGTAGCCTAAAATTGACTGATCTAATATATTCTTTAATAATCACAAAAATATCATATAGATGCTTAAAAAACAAAACACTTCATCCACTTGAGAAAAAGTAACTTACTCCAGCATCTAGTTTTTACTGACAATTCCAGGGATATTCATGAAATCTGGTTTGAACTTGCCAACTCAAATCTAAATAATAGTCATGGAAATTACAGGCTGCCTGGGTTCCATCTAAAAATAGCACTAGCTGGTTGGCAGGGAGTGGAAGGACCTTCAGGTAACCCATATAGAATCTATTCCAGAACCACATAAGACGATATGTATGGGCAGTCACAGCTACGACTGAAAAACACATTTGCAGGGTGTTCTGGCGTTGCACAATCAAACTGACTCCATCCAGCTCATTGGTAACATCAAGTGTTGTTTCCAGACTTTTCCCGTGGGCTCCGGCCAGGCCAAATGATATAAACCAAAGCCCCTCGTTTATTTTCCACTAATAAGCCTTCCCAATAAGCTTTGGAAAAATTTGATGATTGCTAACTCACTCCCCTTCAATAAGTTAGTAGTCAGGGGAAACGGGAAGCATTAAAATTGGATCCATGATCAAGCTTTGAATTTGCAGCATAATCAACATTAACTTGGAGGGAACTCTAATGACCAGTTAGCAAAAGATCCTATATTCCATTATTAAGACACGCCATCCAACTCTGACCAGACTTAAGTTGTTATACCTGATTTGATTGAAACAACAACAGTATTTTCCAAGGTTTTAAGAACTTGTCATTTGTTTTGCTTAACTTTGTTCAAGTTCTAACAGGAATGATGTCTGGATTTAATTTTAAAGGGGAGGAGGAGGAATTCAAGGCCTATAAATAGCACTACTTTTTATTCTCAATGTCATTCATGAATTTATGTTTTCTTAAAACAATGAAGTATTTCAATTCACATGTTGTGATGTTTCTTAATCCTTTGTGGAAGTATTAACAAAGGTTTGGAAGTGAAAGTTTTGACTATAAGAATGGTGAATATCGAAATCGTGACCCAGGTCAAATTACAGCACTTGAGCAGTTACAGAAAGGAAAAAAATTGTTTCTTCCCCCCAAACACACGTACAGTTCCTAACATGAGGCATATGGACACCAAAGTCAAGTAACAGAATCTGAATGACATGCAAGTGATCTGTTGAAGATTGTTTCCATAAAGAGGTGAGCTGGGTTTTAAGGAGTATGTTCTGGCAAATCTCTACCGTCTCTGAACATCTGCCAGTGCTATTTATGGAGTATGAAAGAAACACATGAAAAAGATTTGGATCTTTCTAGGGGCATTATGTAATTGGAAATTGTTGACATACCTATCATCAGCAATTCCTAAAACATTTCCTTACCACAAGAACTACTAATTTTCATGGGAATAATGGAACCCTTCAGGGTAGTTCCACCAACTTTTAAAAATTCACCAATTACTATCATCTCTGAGAAGAAAAAGAACTCCAATTTTAGCAGGCCTCGCCCATTCCCAATGTTTTAAATCTAATCTCTGGTACAAATTAGGGTGGATTGTCCAACTTAATTTACTGGAGCCTGAAGAGAAGAACACATACAAATATTTCTACCTTTGGCTCTTACCCCTCTTCTCACACCTTGGCTAATTTATGCCTTAGCCATCTTGAACTGCTACTTGCTAGTCTCAAACACCTGTCTAGAATTCCTTTCTATTATTGCTTCTTTAATGAAATCCTCATTCTTTTATTTAAAAAAATCTTCATTGTTGACAGTATTACAGATGTCCCCTATTTTCCCCCACTGTCCCCCTCTACCTGGTTCCCACCACACCCCAGGCCTTCACCACACTATTGTCTGTGTCTATGGGCTATGCTTATATGCGTATGAGTTCTTTGGATCACCTCTTCCCATTTTCCCCACCCCCTTCTTTTATTCTGTCACTCTGTTCCATGCATCTAGGCCTCTGGACCCCTTTGTTCATCGGTTTATTCTGTCCATTAGATTCCACATATAAGTGAGACCATGTGATATTTGTCTTTCTCTGATTGGCTTATTTAGCCTAGCATAATACTCTCCAGGTCCCTCCATGCTGTCTCAATGGGTAAGAGATCTGTCTTTTTTACAGCTGCATAGTGTTCCACAGCTTGAGGCCCAATTCAAGTATCACTTTCCCTTGATCCCTCTCCCATATTTCTTTATGGGCAGAATGAATCTCTTATTCTTCTGGATGATCCCTCTCCCATATTTCTTTATGGGCAGAATGAATCTCTTATTCTTCTGGGTTTCCATGTAAATTTACACTCTTAGGACAGAGTTCTATATAATTTGCAATTTTCAAATTTATGACCTAATAGGAAATAAAAGTTTAAGAGATAAAGTGAATTAATGAAATATCTTATAAATATTTTTATTTAAAACCAAATTTTAAAACCCAGCACACAAAATAAACAAAATAGAAAATCCCCTTTAAACACTTTAAATTAGTAATAGTGGGTAGAGCTATTCCAAGTTAACCTCCCTTGTTTACGAGAAAGTCCTAAATCTCCCTTTCCTATAGTCTCACATGTTGCTGGCAAATTAATTCTGCTGCAGATCATGTGCATTCAACAGGGATGTGTGTGGGCTTTTCCTTTCTGTGCTTGGTTCTGCATTTAGACATGGCTGTCACTTTTTAACTCAGACTTGTGCACCTGTGCCTCCTAGGTCCTGCTCAGGTCACAGAAATGAAGAGTATTTGGATGCACGCGATGGAAAAAGATTTGGGGAAACGTGCTGTTATTCTCAACTAATCCCCAATATCTAGAACGACACTGCGCAGACTCGGTGCGGCTGCCCAGTGTCCCTTGTGTCCTAGCAGACGTTGTCAGCTTGCTCCACACATCTTGGGTTTTCCTCCTCC